GTGTATATGGCCTTGAAGTCACCCAAGATTATGATAACGTGGCACTGAAAGGAAGGCCGTGGGTTAGATGCCAAAGCCTTCAGTGAATGAGGAGACTGCCTCAGAAATCAATAGATTAAGACATTAAGAAGGGCTAAAGGTAGGCTGAGTGCGGTGGCTCACGCTTGTAATCCCAGCACTTTGGGAGGCCAAGGCGGGTGGATCACGAGGTCAGGAGTTTGAGACCAGCCTGGCCAATACAATGAAACCCTGTCTCTACTAAAAATATAATAATTAGCTGGGCATGATGGCGGGCGCCTGTAATCCCAGCTACTCAGGGGGCTGAGGCAGGAGAATCACTTCAACCCAGGAGGTGGAGGTTGCAGTGAGCTGAGATCGCGGCATTGCACTCCAGCCTGGGCAACAGAGCTAGACCCTGTTGCAAAAAAAAAAAAAAAAAAAAGGGCTAAAGGCAAACAGGAAAGTAAAGGAAGTGTTTTTATATAAGGATATTGAAGGGATAATTCGGAAAGTAGCAGTGGGGAGCAAAAGAGTCCTGCCTTGCTTCTCCATGGCCTGTGGTTAGTTAGAGAAAATACCTTTGAAAAAGCCTTAGAGGAAAAGCCGGGCTTCATTTAAGCCTTTATCTTAAGGAGAGGATAAGGTCCTACGAAAAACATTTTATTTTTTTATTTTTATTTTTATTTTTTTATTTTTTTTGAGACGGAGTCTCGCTCTGTCACCCAGGCTGGAGTGCAGTGGCCGGATCTCAGCTCACTGCAAGCTCCGCCTCCCGGGTTTACGCCATTCTCCTGCCTCAGCCTCCCGAGTAGCTGGGACTACAGGCGCCCGCCACCTCGCCCGGCTAAGTTTTTGTATTTTTAGTAGAGACGGGGTTTCACTGTGTTAGCCAGAATGGTCTCGATCTCCTGACCTCGTGATCCGCCCGTCTCGGCCTCCCAAAGTGCTGGGATTACAGGCTTGAGCCACCGCGCCCGGCCGACGAAAAACATTTTAATAACTATCCTTATGTTGTGTTCAGAGGCTGTGCCAGACACCCACTGGACGCTGAGGATGGAGTCATGAGCTCAACAGGTGAAGACCTCACTCTTAATGTAGCTCACAGCCTGGCATCTTGCAACTCAAAGTCTGGTCCATAGACCAGCAACATCATTTGAGGTTGAAAGAAATGTAGAAAGTTAGGCCCTACCATAGACCTACTGAATCAGAACATGTAGTTTAATAAGATGCCCAGGTGATATGAATGAACATTAAAGTTGAGAAGCACGGGTTAAGTCTTGAGTCAAATTTTAACCTGGACAGACTGGAAAGTATGGTGTGTTGTAGCCATCTCCTAGCATTCCTTCCCTCTTCCCTCTTGGCAGCCACCTTAGTTCAAAGAGACCCTGCCCTTTCTAGTTGTAGTTGATTGTGGAGCATCTGCCACCATCTTGACCCACCAGTTTTCCTTTCCCTGGCATTCGAAAATGTCAAGGAGAGAGAGATCCTATTGAGTAAACTCAACTTACTTGAGTTTACTTGTTAAGTGGTGATACGGTTTGGCTTTGTGGCTCCACCCAAATCTCATCTCCAATTGTAATCCCTGTAGCCCCCACGTGTCGAGGGAGGAACCTGGTGGGAGGTGATTGGATCATGGGGGCAGTTTCCCCCATGCTGTTCTCGTGATAGTGAGTTCTCAAGAGATCTGATGGTTTAAAAGTGTTTGGCAGCTCCCCCCTCCCTTTTTCTCTCCTGCTACCATGTGAGATGTGCCTTGCTTCCCTTTAGCCTTCCACCATGATTCTAAGTTTCCTGAGGCCTCCCCAGCCACGCAGAATTGTCAGTTAAATGCCTATCCTCTACAAATTACCCAGTCTTAGGGAGTTCTTTATAGCAGTGCGAAAACAGACTAATACAAATGGCTAACCATAGACTGTCTCTATTGGTTAGCCATTTAATAAATAAACTCAGGTTGGTTGCAGTGGCAATATGCTGGAAAGCAGAAAAACCAGGAAGCAGGTGGGGGAAGACAGAGAGAACAATGAAAGATGTTTGGAGAAAAGCAGAAATAGGAAACGTTGCTTAAATTCGTTGCTTAAATTCCTATAGCTAGGTAAACTAAACATCCTAAATCCCTTCCATAGATTGAACAGACCCTCTTTTTGGCCAAAGGGACTCCAGAAAGACCTTAAAACTGAGTTCCCAGACATGATGGTATGGGAGGTTAGACATGCCTCGTTATATCCCCTCTCCTTTGCAGTTTAAATGCAACAACGGATCAGCATTAATGTTAAAACACAGACCAGGGGGAGTAAGGCTTTTTCCTTTCTGTCTGGCAGCATCCATCAGGTAAGCCAAAATGGGTGCATACAAGTACATCCAGGAGCAATGGAGGAAGAAGCAGTCTGATGTCATGTGCTTTCTTCTGAGGGTCCGCTGCTGGCAGTACCGCCAGCTCTCCGCTCTCCACAGGCTCCCTGCCCCACCTGGCCTGATAAAGCACACCAGCTGGGCTACAAGGCCAAGCAAGGTTATGTTATAGATAGGATTCGCGTTCGCCGTGGTGGCCGAAAATGCCCAGTTCCTAAGGGTGCAACTTCTAGCAAGCCTGTCGATCATGGTGTTAACCAGCTAAAGTTTGCTTGAAGCCTTCAGTCCATTGCAGAGGAGCGAGTCGGACACAACTGTGGGGCTCTAAAAGTCCTGAATTCTCACTGGGTTGGTGAAGATTTTACATACAAATATTTTGAGGTTATCCTCATTGATCCATTCCACAAAGTTATCAGAAGAAATCCTGACACCCAATCGATCACCAAACCAGTCCACAAACACAGGGAGATGTGTGGGCTGACAGCTGCAGGCCGAAAGAGCCGTGGCCTTGGAAAGTGTCATAAGTTCCCCCATACTGATGGTTCTTGCTGGGCAGCTTGGAGAAGGCACTATACTCTCCAGCTCTACCGTTACCGCAAATATAAGTAGTTTGTAAAATTCATACCTAATAAGCAATTTAGGACGGTCATGTCTGCTTACAGGTGTTGTTTGTTAAAACTAGTCTGCAGATTGTTTCATCAATGCTTTGTCAAATTATGAAAATTAAAGTGCAATAATGTTTGAAGACAGTAAGTGATGGTATATCTTGTTTCTAATAAGATGAACTTTTTTGTCTTTGCTTTATCTTATTAGGGAGTTATATCTTATTAGGGAGTTAGTGTTTAAAATATACTGTGTGGTATAATAGGCTTAAAATAAATTCTTTAAAAAAGAGAGAGAAAACACACACACATACACACACAGACCAAAAGACTGAAAGAACAGATTCTTTATGGCGATATGATACCAAATTGTCAACAGGACCTATGGCCATGCCAGGCAAGAAACCCAGCTGAGCCAGTGAAACTGAGGGTCAACCTGATGAGGCCTGCCAAATGAAACTTCTCTCACTTGTTTTTAGTCACCTGCTCTTAGTTTTTTAATCAAACCCATATAGCTCAAGTCACAGAGCTAAACAATATATATCCAGGCTCCCACTGGCCTCCTTATGGATAACATCTCTGACATCTGGGTTGCTTGATAAGGTTTCTTGTTTTTCAGGAAGCTGGAGTCAGTTCTTTTTTTTTTTTTTTTGAGAGGGAGTCTCTCGCTCTGTTGCCCAGGCTGGAGTGCAGAGGCCGGACCACAGCTTACTGCAAGCTCTGCCTCCCGGGTTCAGGCCATTCTCCTGCCTCAGCCTCCCAAGTAGCTGGGACTACAGGCGCCCGCCACCTCGCCCGGCTAGTTTTTTGTATTTTTTAGTAGAGACGGGGTTTCACCGTGTTAGCCAGGATGGTCTCGATCTCCTGACCTCGTGATCCGCCCGTCTCAGCCTCCCAAAGTCCTGGGATTACAGGATTGAGCCACCGCGCCCGGCCTGGGTCAGTTCTTGTACAGCCGGGACCACCAACCCCTCAACTGGGCCTGCATGAAAGCCTTATGGGTGTCCTTCTGACATTAGAGGGCCAAAACCTCCACCCTCAGATCATTCTAAGGATGCCCTTTTGTGACCATGTATCCTATGAAGAGCCATGAAGCTTGACTACCTCCCGCAGATCACCCATTGACAAACTTTTCCTGACCTCCAATCGCCTTTCCCCACACCTCAGACCACCTTGCTCCTCTATCCCATAAATATCCCTAAAACCCATCTTTGGGGAGGCAGATTTGAGATCTGTTCTCTCGTCTCCTCGGCTGGCTGCCTGGTGAAAAAACCCTTTCTCTGCTGCAAAACTCATTATCTCAGGGACTGGCGTGCGGCACACGGCAGCATGGGCCCCATCCGGTATCACCAGACTCCAAAGCCCGCCATCCGGGCTTCTTAAACACCCAGCCTCTACCTTGGGTCCTCAACGCTGATGACACAGCACACCTGCGGAGCTTTGCGAGCTACAAGCCTCCTTTCTTCCCCGCAAAGTCCAGCTGGGCACTGGTAGAGGATGTTGCAAAAGCTCCCACGATTCAGCTGCGAACCTACGGATGGGACCCGCTGCTCA